CTCTCAGATGAACTCCTTCCTAGCCGAGGAGCCCCCTTTGGTCTTCCATGGAACTCTATTATATGATCTGGACCATTTTATGTATTTCCCCATTGTCAGATGCTGGGATCAGGTTTTGTTCATTTTTATATCCCTGGGACCTAGAAGTACCTGGCATGGTAGGCATTAAAGAAGGAAGGAAAGAAAGGGACTGGAAATACCACCCCAATGGGCAAGCAGGCATTATTAGCTTTACCACGTGAGTGGACTATGTGGCTTTTTCCTGGGACAGAACAGGAAAAGGAAGCAGCCTGCTGCTTTAGATATTCATTCATTCATTTGCTCATTGCACAAATATTTAGTGAGTGATGCCATGATGCCTAATACTGTGTAGGAAATGGTGATACACAGGCCCTGCTCAGAGGAACTCCCATTCAAGGGAGCTCAGGCATGGGACAGGCACTGGCCTAGCATTTTGGGCCATCTGGTCTGCTGTGAGGACCTCTGCCACTCCGCTCTGCAGAGGCGTGGAGGAGGGAAAGGGCCCAAGAAGACGGTGGAGGACAGTGGGGGAGTCAGGAAGGGCATGGACGGTGCTCTGCCTCTGGGATCAATTCTGCTGACCAGCTGGCTTTTATTTATGCATTTCTCCTTTGTAGGAATTCCTTGCTGGTAACAAAAAAGCATTTGACACATTGCTAATTAGCCCTCAGACTCTGCAATCCTATTATTCCCAAATGCAACAGCTGGGTTATTTCATGATCAGTAAGAACATTTGTAGTCCCTGCAGTTATCCATCAAATTGGGGGCATTGCTTCCCTCACTTCTGATGGGATGCAGAGGACTTTCTCACCCCTCGTCCTTGGGCCGCAGGGTTTGGCCTCGGGCCCATGGTTGGGGGAGGGAGCCAACTGCTTCCGAGGGAGCACAGTTAGGGCACCTGGGCTACTCACTGCACTGGCCCACACTGACCTTAGATGCATCCCTCCTTGCCTCTGGGCACTATTCCTGCACCTGACTCCGACTCCGAAGTGCTTGACCGAACGAAGAGAAGTGCATGTTTCACAGAACTTCCCTACCCTTTTCCTTACCTCTGCCTCCTTCTTTTCCTCCCTCCCTTCCATCAATGAATACTTTTTAAAAGTTTTTTATTTACCGATTAGAGAGTGACAGAGATTTGTTTTCCACTTATTGATGCATTCATTGGTTGATTCATGTATGTGCTCTGAGTGGGGATGGAATCTGCAACCATGACTTACCTACACGATGCTCTAACCAACGGAGCTACCTAGCTAGGGCCTCAGCAAATACTTAGTGAGCATGTACTATGTGCCACTATATGCCAAGCACTGTTCTAAGCACAGGAGAAACAGTGGTGCACAAAACATATCAGAACCCCGGCACTTACGGAGCTGACATGCCAGTGACAGCAGCCGATATGAATAGCCATGGCTATCAGACAAATAGAATGATGACTAATAAAAAGACTCTTTAAGTTCCTTTCAAGGAGCCAGGCCTTCTCCTCAATCTATCACAGTTTATGTAAACTGAACTTATGAATAACTTTTCCTTAGATGCACAGATGCATTAAGTGTGGTCACCGGGCAGCAGGGAGCAGATGCGCCACTTAGTGGTTGCCTGACCTCTGCAGGCGTCAGTCCCTCATCTGTGAAGTGGAGATGGTTACACCTTCCTCAGAGGGTCGCGGGGAGTATTCTGGGATCGTGTCAGGGCGTGGCGCCTGTCGCATGGTAACATATGTTCTGCTCACCTTCCCTGCCTCCTTTCCTGCTCAGCGCAGACACAGAGGTCTAAGCTGTTCCCCTCACCTACCGTCTGGGCCCCCACGGCAGCTGCAGACAGGACAAGAGGCTTCTGAGCCGGCACAGGGTCTCAAGGGCAACGGGTATGCCATCAAGAATAGACATGAGCAGAGGCTGGCGCCCCGCTCTCCGACCCTCGCCCCAACCCTGCAGCTCTGCCTCCCGCCTACTCAGCAGAAACTCAGAAGAGGCAGCCGCCCACCCGTAGGGCAGGCAGTCGCCCTTTTTGGGCCCTGGGTGTGGCTGATGAGGCCTTCCCGGCGTCTGTACTCTTTCAGCACTGGTCAGCAATGCTGTGTGCACCTGGGCAGACCCTCCAGGACAACCCCCCACCCCCGGGGCCAGCAGCTGCGCCTGGGGGAGTGGCGTCCAGGGCACTGGGCTGGTTACCATGGTTTGCATGCTTTATGTCATCCGACCTTTCCCAGCAAGACTGCAAGATAAGGGCTGTCAGCCCCATTTTACAGTTGAGGAAACTGAGGCTAAGAGAGGTTAAGAATTTGCCCGACTCACTCTCCTAACACATGACAGCACGAGCAATTCGAATCCAGGCTGTCAAACTCTACAGCTAGGGTCTTGCCCTGAGGTATGACCTCTCTCTCCTCCGTTATCCACCCACCTCCCAATGCAGGGGCAAAGCGCTCCCTGGGGTCTCTGGGAGCACCAGAAGCACAGAGCCCTTTGCCCAGCTCACCTGAGTGCTGGCTAAAGCAGCATTAAAAGAGAAGGGTACCGTGCCCAAAAGCAATGCCACAAGGGAGAACACGCCCAAGGAAATGGAAGTCCAAAATAGTGTAGTTGGAGAGACCTTGAAGATCGTCTCTCTGCATCCCTCCTTCTACAGAGGAGAAAATGGAGGCCCAGAAGGGCAGGCGAGGCCCCTGCATGCGAGTTTCTGACCACCCTGCAGACTTCCCCGTGGTGTCAGAAGCCCTGCACTCGTGCACAGATGCTGCCGTGGAAAAAGGACTGAAACCCAGCCCCACCACTAACATGTGGTAGGACTCTCGGCAACGGAGCGCCTCACTGAGCCGCCAAGTCCTCATCTGCAGGTGGTGGGTGTGTTAGAGAGAATGTGTGTGAGCTGCTGGCACAGCAGCTGGCACCTGCTATGTAGTCAGTGAACTGTAGCTATTATTATCGCTCTTGTTGTTTTAGAAGTTCAACAAATGTTAGGCAACACTGTCTCTTAGGCATTGCTTGGTTCTACGGTTGTGCTGGACTCCATTGCTAGGGTCGGAGAGGAAACAAAGCTCATGGTGGCCTCTGAACAGGGAACTCCATCTCAGGGACACTGAGGCCCCGCTCTGCGCTTATTTGGGAAAGACCGTGAGCTGTAGGCCAGGTGGCAGCTGCTAGTTCTCATCCCTTCCAGTGTGCCTGTGGCTTCAGGCCCACCACTCACCCTCTATGTCAAATTTCTGTTGTCAAATGAGCATGATAGTTACCTGCCCCCCTCTCCCCACCCCCAAGGAAGTCCATCTAAGGAAGGGTTGGCTGTGGAGTCTCCCACCATCAAGAGAGGCTGCTGCTTCTATGGAGTTTTCTGGTGGGGGTGGGGAAAGGATAGGGAAGGCTTCTCTTTGGGACTGAGCTACCAGGGAGTGACAATCTGGTACAGATGTGTAGCATCCTCATCACTGAGCCGTAGGAAATAAGGAGTGAGCTTTGTAGAACCTCTGATAAACCCCAGCTCCTCCTTCCTTCCCTCTCCTCACAGAGCCCTTATCCTTGTGTCATGAGAAACCCCAGCAGCCTGATTTCCGTTTGGCATGGTCCGGCTTCATCCCCTGTGCCTAGGGCCGAGTTTGGAGACTTTCACTAGGGGTTAATGTGATGAGTTTGGATCCCATATCTTCTCACCTGGTTCTCTCAAGACCACAGGCACCTCGACATGCACAGACCAGGCTGGGATGAAGGGAGTGGCTTATGGCAACCTGGCTGACCCAAAAGCCCGTGTGGAAGCGGGGACACCAGGAGGACAGTTCTCTCATACTTTCTTGCTGCCTGGCGATTCCCATGGGGCCTGGTTCCCAAGGAGCAAGGTTGCCCTGGCCCCCCTCAGAGGACATGACGGCTGGGTCTGCCCATGACTCCTGCATCTGTTACTTGTGTGGTTCAGTCCTGAGTGCTGGAGAAATGGGGGACCGAGAGTGGTGGTGATATGGGGGCGGCTGCGTAAGGAGGCACCATCTGTGATGCCACCGTTTGCCTGATTCCTGAGGCGGCTTCATTCAGAGCTCAGGACCCTTTGTGGGCCTTCAGATCGGCCACTGTCCAGCAGCGCCAGCAGGAAACAAACTCCCTGGCATTGGAGGGCCTCCTGGGTCCAGACTCGCCCAGCCTGGCCAACCTCAACGCCCTCCAAGACCTCCCCAGCATCCTGGACCCCGGCAACACCAGGCAGCTCTTTTTCTTGAACACATCAACTACTTCCCTCCTGAGAACCTTTTCTCCTGCTACTCATGCAGTCGCTCCCCTCCCCTTCCCTCCTCCTTCCCTGCCTCTTAAGAATTTATTCACAGATGTATCCACCTTCTGCAAGATGCCTTACCTAAACTTGCAATATATTATTTCTTCCTCCGTGGTCCCCACTTGGTTTGTTTATTTAACATCTATTCATTTAGTGTCTGCTCGGCGCCCACCAGCCTGTGCTGGCCTTCTAGAACCAAGTTAGCCCACCTTGTCTTCTGCCGGAGTGAGAGTAGTTCACGTGGGATTCTCAGTGCCGCCAGGGACGGGGGCAGAATCTCAACGATTTCTGTGTCTGTGTCCCTCACCACTGTGTTTTGTACTTTGTCCAAAGTGTCAGATGGAGAGGTGGCTTCCGGACTGGGCTCTGCCCACTAATTAGTCGCATGGCCCTGGGCGAATCTTCCAGCCTCTCTGGCGTCCGTTCTGCCTGATGAAAAGGTTATGATGATACCTCAGGGCTGTCCACGGGACAGTGAGGCAGGATGAAGGGAAGCACCAGGAAAGCTGGCAGCCCCAGGCCAATGGAACATGTGGGGCGGTCGTACCCCCATTCTCCTTTCACTGGCTGTGAAGCAGCGCTCTCTTCGAATGTAAAGTGCACTAGCTTCCAGTCCCTCCTCAGGGCGGGCCCTCGGTCGGCTTGGAATCCTAGGCTGGGGAGAATTCCGCTGCGAACTCGAGACTTTCCTCTAGCCCAGCCGCCCCTTCCCAAGGACTCGCCGACTATAACTTAAACAACGCTCCAGAGCGTAGTTCAAGCGCAGCCCAGATCCGCAGCTCCGCGGCGCGGGCCCGGGCCGGGGTCGCGCATCTCCAGACGGTGACTCAGGGCCGCTCGGCCCGGGGGTGGGTGAAGGTAGGCGGGACCGACCAAGGCCGCGCGGGGGCAGCCGCCGGGCGCTCTGTCGCCGAGCGTTGGGAGCCGAGATTGGCTCTAGCCCGTCGCCATTCCGCCGCGGGCGTCTGCCTCTCCGGGCCTGCCTCTCGCGCCACTTCGCACCCGTCGTGCTTTTCTCCCGGAGCGCAGCTGCCCGGACGGCCGGCGCGGGTTGGAGCTCTGGGCGGGCTCTGCGCGCTAATGAATGAGCCCCCGGGGGACGCGCGCGCGCGGGACTGAAGGGCATTAGGACCGTGAGGATCGCTCCGCGCGCTTGTCTCTCCCTATCACCCCCCCACCCCCCACCTCTCTCCTTTTTCTGCTCTGCAGGACTGAGCAGCCGGGCGCGAGCGAAAACAAACAGCTGGGGCTGCGAGCGCCCCCGCCCCAGCCCTTAGAGCTCGCCGGCCCGGGTTCCCACACGGGGCACCCGCCCGCCCACCATGAGGAAGATCCGCGCCAATGCCATCGCCATCCTGACCGTAGCCTGGATCCTGGGCACTTTTTACTACTTATGGCAGGACAACCGAGCCCACGCAGCATCCTCAAGCGGCCGGGGCGCGCAGAGGGCCGGCGGGAGGCCGGAGCAGCTCCGCGAAGACCGCACCATCCCGCTTATTGTGAGTCCTCCCTGTGCGCCCAGGCAGTCAGCCGGGGAGCCGCGGCGCGCGTCCTAGACCCGCGCGGCTGCAGAGGGCGCGAGGCCGGGCTGGGGGCTGCGCGCCCGCCGCGCCCTGCCGGCTTTGTATATGTTGGAGCATTCCTGCACGTTGTTATGGCAACCTCCATAGGGCCAGCGAGGCCAGGGCGCACGGATGGAGGAAGGGTGACAGCGAGTGGGGGTTGGGAGAAAGTGCTGCAAGTTTGGTGGGCCCGTCGTGCGCGAGCGATTGGGAACGTGGCGGCTCTCTCGGCACTGCGCCTCCGGGCCGGGGCGGGGGGTTGCCGGCGCCTTGCCTGTTCAGGAAGGCGGCTGGACAGTGCGCGCAGCGAGCCGGCAGTGGGAACCGCGCGCGGCTGAGCGTGTAGGTGGCCACGCGCACCCCCTCTCCAACCTCCTTAGGGGCCAAGGGCGTAGGGTGGGGACGTTAGGTGAGGCAGGATCGCTATGGGCTGCGCCCGGTTTTGCCTCCCCTTCTTAGCCCGGATCAACTTGAACCTGCTTTTTTGACACGGAGTACTCTCCACTAACACCCCCGGGGTTCTTTGGGTCGGGGAGAGGTCTTCTGTACGAACCCCTCACCCTATCACGAACAGGTGAGCGTGCAGTGTCTGCGGCCAGGCTCGGAGATTTCCTTTCACGAGGGCAGCCTCGGGAGGTCAAGGCGAGTGGGGAAACAAAGGCGGCAAGGGTAGGGCCTCGCCGGAGCTGCCGGGGCCCTAGGCGCTCCAGGGACCTGGGCTGGGGCGTGCGCAGTCCCCGCTGTCCTGCAGGGGGCGTGCCTGCTACCGCCTCCGCCGGGGCGCGGGGTGACGGCTCTGGCAGGGGCACCTGTTGAGGCCGGAGGCTCTTGGGACCCGCGGAGAGGCGCGCTCCAGCGGGCTGCATTCTTCCGATCGCGGCGGGTGGTGGGCGAGATCAATGGGCGACCGTCGGGATCAACTGCTGGGCAGATGCAGCTTGGCTAGACGCGGACCAGGAGGAGAAAGAGCAAAGTGTGGGGCCGACGGTGGGGAGTGGGGCAGGGCGGCCATTCTGACCTGAAGAGATGTGGGCCTGGGGAGGGAGGGGTGGAGAGCTCGCGGGCGAAGGCTTGTGTGGAGAATTTGAGATGTTTGTGCAGAGGCAGCTGAGCCCCAAGAATGTGGCTGTGGCAGTGGAGGGTGTCTGTGTGGAATCTCTCTCATTTTCCCATCCTACTCCAGATTCTGTCTTCTTACCCACCGGGGAAGAAGTAAAAATCCCTGCAAAGGAACCGCATTTCCTGGCTTTGCCAGAGAAGACTTTGGGGTTTGCTGGTTTTCTCCAGCCCCTGTCCCCCAATTCCCAAACCTCTGTCTGGTTGAACTCTATGGGGGTGAGCCTGATTAGGTGGAATGTCCCTTTTTGGGCTGAGGGTCCCTGACACTAAGACACTGGTTCCAAAGCACTGTGGATGTTTGGATGGAGCAACTGATGAGGAAAAGCCTCCAGAGCATTCGGATCTGGGTGGACTGACAGATTGGAGTGGAACTGGCCGGACCAGTAGTGGCCCCAGGTACCCAGGGAGCTTTGAGCTTCCACTCCAGGTATTCATCTAAGCTGCCCCTTCTTCCATCCAGCTTTGGTCTTAGGGTATGTGGGCCCGGAGCCCAGGGGAGGGCAGGCTGGCCAGAGTTCTGCCCTCTGCTCTGGAGGAGGGTCTGAGCTGGAGGGGGCGGGGGAATGGCAGGGAAGACAGCACAGGGAGACTGCTGCCCAGAACCCCCGGCTGTGTCTCCTCACATTTGCCTCTGCTCCAGAATCCTGACCTTGCTCTTGGACCTCTCCCCTGCTCCTCCCAGGGCCCTTGGAGATCTGCTGGCAAGGCTACTTGGACTCGGGGTGGGGGCACTGCTGGAGGCATGCAGTACTCATTTTGAGGGGTGGAAATTGGAGGTCACGGAGGGGGTTCCAGTGAACCTCCTCTCGCCCTGTCCTGGTTCCTTGGTTGCTGCAGATTAGAAAAGGGCTGTGAAGTGGAAGCCAACTTTAAAGTGTGAAGGAGCGAGGGAGTGGAGAAGCAGGAGGAGAGGGAGAGAGGAAGTTCCTGGGGAGTAAGTGATAGAACCTTCTTTGGCCAGTAAAGGCATAGTCGGCCCCCTCCTAGTTCTTAAGCTTTAGCCCTGAGTGTCTGTTCCAGAGTCATTGGTCCCCAGGCACTCACCGCTTTTGTCACAGCCTTGCATTGTATCCCTGTCTTCCGAGGTAATTCACTTCAGCCATCGGCCCTGTCCGCTCATTCAATGTAAGCTATCGCTCAGGAACTATGCAGGAAGCTTCTTACATCCCCCCATGGATGCACACAGCAAGACCTAAGTACTAGTTACGTGAGTGAAGTAAGATTTCTGCCCATCTCTGTGGCAGCAGTCAACAGTCCTAGCATCATACCTCTCTCATACTTCATTCATTCCCAGCTCCAACCTGACTTAACCTAACTTGGGAGATAGACGAATGCCTATGCAGCTTCTTCAGGAGTCGCACCCTTTGTTCAACTTAAAAGGCGCAGGTGCAGTGGAGGATTGGCTTTCTCCCTGAACTACGGTTGACGTCTCACTGGTCTTCTTGCCCTTCCCAAACATGCCTCACTTTAGCTGGGCCAGGACACTGCGTGGGGATTTTTAGACTCTTAGAGAATGATGTGGCCAGTGCTGCTGACAGAGGACGCGAAAATTCAGACAGGCGTCATCATCGTCACTCCCCTGGGGAATCGGAGAGCCGAGTTGGGAGAGCAGGGCCTGCAGAGCAGCACTGGCCAGGAGGCAGCTCTGCCTTCGCAGTGTCTGGGCTGCAGTGTCTGGGCTGTCCGAAGCCAGCCAAATTGCTTCTGGGCCTCAGAGGCACTTGTTTGACATTGTGGGGTGTTGGCATGGCAACCATAAGACCGATTTCTTGGGGAGGTCCCGATTTTTAATACTCTGTCCTGCTGTCAGCCCATGTGTCCCAAATGTTGATGTGAAAAATTGGTCATGGACCCTGTAAAACTAAAGGGAGATTCTGACTGCGTCCTTCAATGGCTGCTTATGATATGGCAGGGTTTGTGGTTTTTCCATGCTGTACTTTATGGGTAGGACAGTGAGTTTGGGGACAGTCACTTGAATCTACATTGATGCACGCTGGCACTGAACGCAGAGAAAGCAGGAGGCAAAACAGGCACGGCTGGCCTTCTGTCTTCAGGCCTCACAGCCAGGAAGAACATTCATTTGTGATGGGTTTGGGACCCAGGTTTTCCATATGCGAATTCTCTAACAGGCGTGGGTGGGATGCTAAGGCGTTACATGGAATTTTCACTTTACAGACATATTTTAAAAAGACTATCTAGTATGGGTATTTTAAAGATAGGTGTGCTCACTTGCAACATCTATTTGGAACCAGGGAAGTTTTAGGCAAGAGTTTTCCTAAACTGGAGTTTCTTATCCAACAATTGGAATACTGCGAAGTGACCATGGATAAAATACTTAACATCTCTGGACTGGTTATTCTATGTGTTAAGTTTGGGTTAAATGATTTCTTTTGATCCTTAGATAAGTTCACTCATTTCTAGACGTGACGAAATGGCTGTGAGGGAGCTCTCCTGAAGGGCACTGTGAGGTGCGTGGCTTGCGACCTCGAGGCTTCGCAGGGATCCCCCTTCCCCGGCAGAAAAGAACACAGGTGACGGCTTCCCGGAGCTGTTCTCTGAGAGCAGAGGCTTCAGTTAGAGCTGTCTGGGTTTATATTTTATTTATAATGTGTGCATTTTGGAACCGTGGAAATATGATTTGCTTAAATGACAAAATGATTTTATAATTAATTTGTCTGGGTGCTGCACACAGAAAAGAGGGTAAGGAGGGGGAAGCACAAATGCCCACAATCCCTCTTGCCAACTGTTCAGGTTGAAAGGGCCTGATTTTCCGTCGCCGGGTTCCCGTCCTGGGTCATGCTGAGATCTGCTCCTGGGAGTCAGGGACAGAACAGAGGCATCAGGATTGGTGGGGGCCCTGATAGCCTGAGAGTCACTTCCCCGGGCGGTCCATAGGGGACGGGATTATTTGTAGGGTGCTGCTCATTTTGGTTCCCTATTTCTGTGCCACGACTGCTCCGAGGGCTTGGGGCCTGGCTGTCTTCTCTGGTGGCTGACTGTTGGCTCTGCGAGTGGAGCTCGGAAAGTGCCATTTAAGTCCATGTGGAGGGGCACTGATAGGCAAGTCTGGGCCAAATTCCCTGGGGCACTGCCTTGCCGGAATGGAGGAACTGCCCTGGGGTTAGAGGTGAGCCTGGAGCCCAACAGTTCATTACAGTCAGAAGATTGAAGATTTATCCCTGTCTGCTTCTTGAGGCCTGAAACACCTTCCCGGGGAACAGAAGGGCAAAGATACCAGGAGGCTAAACAGGCAGGTGACCCAAGCCTTCTGGAAAAGAGCAGTGAGCCAGAGCTTTCAGATGTGAGTCAATGACGGTTACACTTGGGCAGTAATTTGTTTCACTAAATCGAACACTATGCTTGGTACGGTTATGGACGGTGTACAGCCTGCTCTGGTTTCAAGCGGCTTCATCTCTGAGTACTTTTGGTCTTTGCTCTGTGCCCATCCAGCCTCCATAATTGCTGTCACCTCTGTACTACATTTATGGTGGCTGATTCATTGGACCCTTTGATGCTGTGTTAGGTGTTTCACAAGCTTTGAATCACCTGAACAGCTTATGTGGAAGGTGGCGTTATCAGGTCCAGTTAACATTGCGTAAAATGAGGTTTAGAGAGAGATTCAGCGTCTCACCCGTGACCCAGCAGCCAGTAGTGCGTGCCTCCGAAACTCAGTTTCTGCCTCGGAAGGCCACTTGAGTGTCTCATTTCCCCTGAAGCATCGTCAGGGCAAGATCCAAATCTGATGCTTCAGCACGTCTTTCCTGGAGCACCTAGAGCAGCACCTGCTTTGTATTCATTTCACAAACACTTATTGGGGA